TGCTACTGATGGGGGTCTCAGTCTTATTTAGGCTGGTCTCAAACTCCTGAGCTCAAGCAATCTACCCACCTCGGTCTCCCAGAGTGCTACGATTACAGGCGGGAGACACCATGCCTGGCCTTCTTTTTTCTTTTTTTTATTTGGAAAATGACCTAGAGTATACTTATGTTTTCCATTTTTCCAAATTAACAAGCAGGTATTACTTTAATTTTTCAAGCAATACACAAATATGTTCTCATTTTAAAGATTTAAACAATATAAAAGTATAGGCATAATATGTAATCTTTCCATAGCCACTTCAAACTATCCTTTTTCTCTTCTATCTTTGGTAAGTTTCTACCAAGTTGTTAATAATTTTAAAATATATATATTTTTTTGTTAACAAATATTTATGTTAAATAGTCAATAAGTGGTTATTTCTATGAAAATAGAAAAATGAAAAAATAGAATTTTTCTATATGAAAAATTTTGAAGGAGAAAAACATCACCATCATCAAGCTTTCTACTTAGTATGTGGTCATGAACAAAAAGTTCTGCTTCTTAATGCTAACTTTTAATTCTTTCAACTTCAACACTTAAAACTATTTTTACTTTGGTTAAACATCTAGCATTTGTAAACTAAATGTCTGATGTTCTACATAATGAATTACTTTTCTTGAGATTAATGCAAAAGCCAGTATTTATCTTGTTTGCCAACTTCAACTATACTTGATTTTTATAATGAACAAATTACATAAATCATGTTAATGCTCCTAAATTGGAGTACTTTAAATATTTTTTTATTCGGATAGCATTACTAATTACTAGTTGGCAAGACTCTCACTTTCGGATCAAAAGATTATAGTAAACTAAGATCTAGCTAACCATCTGAAATGCAATGTAGCTATGAAGATCTTTGAGGATAATGTATCTACAAATTTGCTTCCCTTCTTTCATACAACTAGATGTATGAATGAAAATTAGAGACCTTGTTTGTTTGGGAAAATAAATGTAGCCAATTCAATATAATCTCCTAGTAAGAGCTAATGGCCTTCACTAGGTAGAAACTATCGTTATGGAGAAAACTTGCTATTGCTTTCAGTTTAGTGCTTCATCAACAAACCAAAGGAAATAATCTAAAACTGAAGATTCTAGAGTATGAATTGATTTAACTCAGAGATTTCAACTGAAATTTGTTTTAAAATTTTTATTGAAAATAATTTAAAACCGGCTCGGCGCCTATAGCTCAACCGGCTAAGGCGCCAGCCACGTACACCTAAGGTGGCGGGTTCGAATCCCCAGCCCGGACCCGCCA